ATTTTTAACTTATTTTAACTTAATCATCGCTCATTATAAATTTTTAGTTAATATATACGATTTACGTAATTATATATACGATTAGTATATTTGATGTTTATTCAACAATTGTCTCGAAAACATTTTAGTTCGTTTAAATATTTTATAAATTAATTTGGTTATATAATAGTCTATGTTTTAAACTATTTAGTTTGTAATTATATTAATTATTTTGTTTTATCAAAATTAAGAAGCTCGTAATTTATTTCTATTGATTCATTTTTTATTTTACTTTTAGTCGAATTCTTCATCTGGATTTATTCTGATTACAATCTAAATTTAGTTTGACTTCGATAATTTATTTCAGCTATTTAAAGGACAAAATTTGGACCATGTAATATCCCAGTTAAATGACATAAAAATAACACCCTATACACATTTAAGGTTATATATATCGAGTTATAAACATACTTTTAAAAATAAATTACTTATAGCAGATTATTATCGATTTATAGCATATCAATTAAAAATATATTCAATTAAAAATAAACTATAAATAATTATTTAAATAATAATTAATATGTTTAGATTTTTTTTTTACAATTAACTTTTTATTTTTATTTTTATTTTTTAAATAAAATAAAAAGAAAAAAAACGTTTATGTGTAAATTAGTAAGTAGCACTAATTGTAGGGTTTCAATTGATTTTAATTAATAATGGACAATTAAAAAATTAGCACATATTAAGGAATTCAAAAAGTATTTAAATTATTCTGTTTCCTTAAAATGCTTAAATTAGTGTAAATCAAATTAAAACATGATTTTTTTTTCTTTATCACCTTTTAAAGCTTTTAATATAAATAATAAATTATTATTAATTAAATTTATTAATAAAATTTCACATTATATAGTTACCTTTTAAAAAAGAAAATCTAAATAATAGGGATTTGATTTTAATTAATTTCCTATTATACGGTTGCCCAATAACTATCGACCCCCATCTCAACCAATACATACACAGACATCTTCCTCCAATACACTACATCTCTCCTAACACGCGAAGATATTTTGATCTTCCCCAAATCCCGCCTCACTCATCATCTCTTCCCAACACGTAAAGATTTTTCGTTCTTATCCGAATCCCGCCTCACTCATCTTCGTCATTATCCATCTCAGATCAGTTCATCCCAAAACCCAAACATCCCTCTCAGATGAGTTCCCCATAAAGTTCATATAGAATGCCTAGGAAAGGTAGTGAAACTCCAACTAAAAGTAAAAGATTGGTCGATGAGTCTGATGACTTTCATGTTTCTTCATTCGATATATTGTCACAAACTTAAACGCAGAAATCAAAGGGAAAAGAGAAGTGTAGTTTAGTTAATTCGAACTAGTGCCACGTAGACTAAAAAGGGGTAGAAAATTACATATAAAATAAGTTCAGGGGGTAATAGGACCTTAGTATGGTATAAGTGTGTCTCTGGGATTTCGGACATAGGTTGAGGGGGTACTTGGGCATTATCCCTAAAAATTACATGACTTGGACTATAATTTTACTTAAATATAAAATAAACTATGGGTTATTTAAATATAAAATAAATCATGGTTTGATATAATAATTCCACACTAAATATAATTATACCAAGGATCTAAACATAAAACTGATATGAACGTTTGAACATACTTCATACAATAACATGAATAAATATTAATGGTTTAAACATAGCGAAATTTAACAACTTTAATATATATTGCAATTCATTCTCGCATTATCATGACATAAAACTAATACAAAATTAAATTAGTATTACCTCTTGTGGAAATTATTTCACCAAAAGAAAACAATTCGAATAAGGAACCGCGAAAATAAACCTCAACTTCAACCTTTGTTTTTGAGTCAAAGCAAAATATGTAAATATATTTTTTGATTTTTGTTTGTAGAAGAGTCTCTTTCTTTTTTGTCTGTATTTTTTTTTTCACGTTTTTTTCCTTCTTTTCTCTTCTGATCTCGTTCTTTTTTCTTTTCTCCTTTTTTCTTTTTTTTGTTTCTTCCGTGTTATTGTAATATGATAGTGCATGTGTGTGCATGTCGTGGGGTGTGAGTGGGAGTAGGGGGGGGGGGATCGTGGGGTTTGTGTGTGTGTGGTGGTTTTTTTTTAATTTTCAATATATATATAAAAATGATAATTATATAATTATTAATTTCTTTGAGTAAATAAATAAATAAAAGCTAAATGGGTAATTAAAACATAAGGGACATATTTGAGAAATATTAGTTTATTTAAATAATATATATATATATATATATATATATATATATATATATATATATATCTTTTTTTTTAACAATCAAAATAAACTTATCTAATAAAAATTATATTTATGTTATTTATTTTTATATCTTTTAAATAAACTTAATGAAAATAATAAGAATTCAAAATATATTTAATTTAGATTGATAAAATTATTTATGCTCTAAATATTGGTGTTAAACTTAAATTCGGTCAAAAATTACATGTCTACAAATGCTATACATTGAAATTCAAATTCTAATACAATAACTTGAAAATATTACTATATAAAATGCTATATACCTAATTTATACTTAAATTACGACAGCCCATTCACAAAATAACCAAGCAGTCCACTCTTACTCTTCTTATTTTCTAACCCAATTATTTTTTTCAAATTCCTGCCAGCCCAACTCCAAGTTCGCTCGACCCCGCCAAGTTCGTTTTCTTCTTCACAAGAAGAAATCTAGAAGCGTACAACATATGCATATCAGCAGCAAACCAACCTGACTCCTATAGCGTCGTCTTCCTCACGCGCAAGCGGACAGAACCAAGAAGTTCGGCGCGTCCGAGTCCAGGCACACGAATCGTGTCGCCTTCCCCCTTTCTCACCCTTTATCCGTCCCTACATCTCCAGGAAGAACAGCCTTTTTGTACACGAGCAGGCCAGATGGAGTAATCCTTTTGATCCATCTTCCTTTTTTCGAATCAAACGACTTTTCTCTCCCCCCCCCCCCTCTTTGAAATTTGTTGCAGTCTCGTACTGATTCCAGCTATCCCCTGGGTTCAAGGGAGGGAATTAGGGAATTCAAATGGGGAATTTTCTACTGATTATCCCATTTTGCTCCTCTGTTTTCCCCCAAAATCAACCTAGTTCTTCTGCTATAAATACAATCTTATTATTGTTGAAGAAGGGGATTTTTTTTTGGGGGATATTTTTTGAGAGGCAAAAGGATAAAAAGTTCGGAAAATTTTCGAACAGAAAGTAGGGAGATTACTATTTTTTTTTGGGGATTTTTGGGAGAGACGAAAAAATTGGTAGAGTTTTCTATTCTTTTTGGTTCGTATAATTTCTAGATGGATTTACCTAGCAAAGATACAAGAAACTCGAATAAAAGTACTCTAAATAACTACCAAAAACACTTCAAAAGGCAAGGGTGCCAGATTTTTCAGCGTTTGATTCAAATTTTTTGTCAGGATCTCTGTTTGATCGTCTGAACTTGAGGTCACCTTTGGTGGTGAAATATTGTCGCTCCTTACTCGTGCTCTCCCGGTCGCTGCCAGCAATAAGGTAAATGACTCGTAGTAGCTTTTGTTGATTTTGAGTTCTTTGTGTTGGCTGGGTATGTAGCTCATTGTGGATTCTAGACGAGTTTGCCTGATGTGTTTGATCTGTGTTGTCCTTTTCATCCTTTTTTTAAAAAAAATGCTTAGTATGTGTTCGTATTTTCTTGGAGATTCAGTGTTTATTTAAGTTTGCATCATAGTGTTGTTCTCTTCGAGCTTGCTGTCATTAAGCTCGTTGTAAGCTTGATTTGATCGTTTGTTAATTACCTTAATTGTCTTCTATATGTGTTTGCTGAAGCATTCTTCCTATGTTTGGCTACATGTCTTTAAGCGTCAAAGAAGTCACTTTTCTACTCCTCTTGTGTATTATTGAAATAGTAGTGTTGTTGCCTAATGAAGCATTCGGCTAGAACAATTTTTCGGCAATATCATCTTGCTATTTATTCCATCTTGCATTTCCTAATGTGAAAATCTTTTCTTGAGTTCTCCATGGCATTACTTTCTAGTTAGTCCGTCTTGTTTGTTTACTAATTTCCTTGTGTTATGGTTACCTTCTTCTAAAAAGGGGACTGAAATTATAACTGATTTAATTTCCGTAATGGAATTAAAATCATTTCTTGTTCCCAACTTGAAGTTATGGCTGTCCTTTATTTATTACATTTGTTTGAAAGGCTCATCTTGAAAAAAAATGCTTCTCTTGAAAGTCTTATTAGTTGTCTTTGTTCGTGTGTTCCTACTGATAGTGGTTTAGATTTGTTTAGTTTCAACTATCTCCTTTAATTTTTTATTTTGTTTTATTTATTATCATATATTATTTTTTTTAACAAAAGAGTAATAAATGTTAAAGTTACGATGACATATGTAAATAAAAATGTTGAAAGAAGTAGCAGCTTGAACCAAGGTAGTTGTCATGATTGATACGGTATATGAATTTATTGCAGATAAAATTTTAGTGTGAATTGTATAATGTTAACGAGGAGCAGCATATGATAAAAAAATGGCTAATCAGAATAAGAAATGAATCTAAAATGAATGAATGATGAGTGTTACGTGATGGGAACATTTAAATCATTATGTAATTGTAGAAAGTATACGATTGAAATAAAACATGAAACATAAGAAATAGATTAAAAACAATATAAATAACGGAAAAGGGCCTAAAATACCCTCGAAGTATTGAAAATGGTACAGAATTGCCCTCCATCCACCTATTGGCCCCCAAATACCCTTCACATCCACCTTTGGGTCCAAATTTACCCCTTCATTAACAGACCAAAATTAAAAATAATTAAATAATAATTTTTAATGACGTGACACTCAACCATTGGTTGTAATTTAATTATTTAAAATAATTTTAAACCCATCCATTTTAACTAAATCCACCCATTACTTTCCCATTCATTTTTCCTTTATTACCCTTCTCTCTCCCTCCCCCCCCCCCCCCACCCCCAAATCTTAAAATATGAAGGGAATAGAAAAGAAAAATGTAAAAGGAAAAGCACTATTACTAGTTTATCAAATGGCCTGCCTAAAGCCATTAGAACAAGCATTGCACACCATCTGTTTTTTCCTATAGTTCAAAATGTTCATTTGTTCCAAGGTGTTTCACCGAACCTCCTTTTCCAACTGGTAATTTTCTCCCCTTCCCTTGCCGTCTCTTTTGTTCTCTCGATCACTCTTGCATTCGTTTTAACAGTGTGATACTTTGATTTCTAAGGTTCCTGAAATGGAAGCTGAATACTTCCCTCCGAAGCAAGACGTAATTTTGCAGAATGAGGCACCAACTGATCTGTATATAATAGTTTCAGGAGCAGTGGTAAGTTAGTTTATAGATTTTGTGTATACTATTAAAGTTGTGTTTGTCATGTTGTTAATCAGTATGTTATATGTTATTGTTGCAGGAATTTATAGCACAGATTGAAGGGCTAGAGCAAGTATGTATATTACTACATAGTAACTATTATTATTAAGTGTCAACTTTAAGATATATAACTAAATCTCTCTTCTCAATCATGTTCCCAAACAGACAATTGGAAAAGCTGTTGCAGGAGAAATATTTGGAGAAATAGGTGTTTTATGTGGGAGAACACAGCCATTTGCTGTTCGAACAACCGAGATTTCTCAGATTCTAAGGCTAAACAGGACATCATTGATGAACATTCTTCGAGCAAATCCAGAAGATGAACGGATTATTATGAACAATCTATTGATGGTAAGTAAACCAGATTATGTACTGGTAAATTATCCACTGTTTTTTTAAATAATTAAAATGGGTGGGTTTAGTTAAAATGGGTGGGTTTAGTTAAAATGAGTGGGTAATGGGTGGGTTTAAAATTATTTTAAATAATTAAATTACAATCAATGGTTGAGTGCCACGTCATTAAAAATTATTATTTAATTATTTTTAATTTTGGTATGTTAATGAAGGGGTAAATTTGGACCCAAAGGTGGATGTGAAAGGTATTTGGGGGCCAATAGGTGGATGGAGGGCAATTGTGTATCATTTTCAATACTTTGAGGGTATTTTAGGCCCTTTTCCGTATAAATAATAAAGAATCGTGCACGGGGAAATTGATTAATTTGTAATAAAATGAATATTAAATGAGTGTTTATAAAAAGTATGGTTAATGGAGAGGAGGTTTGATTGCTTTGATTAATTAATTCTTGGTATGTTAATATATCTCTTGATGTTGTTTGAGCTTATGAATAAGATTTAGACAGACATGTTTTTCTTAAGGAAAAGTTTTAAAGAATATTCAATAAGAATCTGTTTGTTAACTATCTGTTACAAATTTCACAATTTAAATTTGTTTAACTTCTTTACTATCCTAAATATAAATGATTATTTTTATCTCATATAAGTTTTCTTTAACTTATTCTAATTTATTTTCTTCTTTCTTTGTTGTACGTGAACTCCTCTTGAGTCCATTTGGACTCCATTTCCCCTCTTTCTCGCACCCGAGATGAGCCATAAAGGTTCCAGTTACTTCATCGAGTCAGACAACCAAAAAAAGGCGTACAGGTCCTAAGTCGAAAAGATTCAAATCGGAGAAGTTGAAAATTTGGGGGGCTAAGAAGCCCAAGTTTATTTCCTTAATGTTGTATTTTGTTCTTTTGGGTCTAAGGTCTTGTCGCTTTTTATTTATCCTTTATTATTATCTTTAGAACTTTAGGACATGTACCAAGAAAGTGAGCAAAAGACCTAAACAAATGGGATCCAAATACTGGTCCATGCAGACAGAAATCTAATTTGGACCCAAATACTCTCTCTCTCTCTCTCTCTCTTTTACTTTACCGTCTATTGTTTGTACAATATTTTTGCTAGTCTTAGGGTTAAAATCTCGAATCGCGGTCAAACATCATCTCGTTTTGATCACTTAACTAAATCAATTAGGTATAAAACTTTACAAAATAATTTTTTTGCAAATCTCAATTATATATAAAAAAAAATTGATAGTTTACCTTTCAAACAATTTTAAATATTTTTCATCTCAAAATTAAGTTAGAAATTTTAGCCAAACAAGTTAGTTATCGGATGATCGCGATATAGCGAATATTTTGGGTGCCGTAAAAACCTTTCTAAAAATATAAATATGAATCCCTGAACCCCTTTAAAATTTTCATTAGGTTTCGTGTTTAAATCTTTTGAGAACCAAGTTTTCTTGATTTTTCTTTAAAATGATGTTCCGACTCTAAAAAGTCAAAAACGTATAAAATATTATTTTTCGAAATGTAAAACAGGTCCAAGTTCCCATTTCCAAAGTTTCTTACCCCCATCAATGGTCCACCATGATGCGCCATGAGTGAGACCATGGTCTGTCAACTAGGATTTGTAGGTGGAAGGTTGGTGGTTAAGTCAGCGGCACATGGTTATTTTCCCAATTAATTAGTTTCTATACCACATCACTTTATGGTCACATTCGGGGAGAACCCCTAGACATAACCGACATCCTCGTCCTTGAAGAGGACTAAGACTAGTCTCTTAACAATTGTCATTACATATCATGGGTTAAAAGTTCAGAAAATTTAGAACTTTTTATTTATTCTACATTGAGGTTTACTTAGACCTCCCACTTACACATAATATATATATTTATCGAGTGTATATAATATAAGATAGGCTTCTACTTTTATTGCACATACATAATATAAGATAGTCTCATAAGAAGTCTATAACTTTGTCTCATATTAAACCATCTACACAAGACTATAACAATTTGGGCATAGCCCCTACATCAATAATTATAGCCACATATAGGCTTTACAATTATAGTACCAAAATGAAAAAGAATGAACAAAGTGTCTTTCAGAGTAAAAAATATCCAATAGGTAGATAATGGCATAATCCTCGAAAAGTGAGGACCTACTGAACATGGAAGATAAGAATCCAAGTAATCTTTAAATGTCCTTCTACTAAGCTCAACGGCTCGATCCTACATTTGTAGTAAACATAAGAGATGGGTTAATATTACACTTGTACTAAGTATGGGTATATGCACATACAAAAATTGAAATCATGCTAAAGACAACATTTGTTCAAAACCATGCTAAAGTACTTTGAAAAGACTTATGCACAACCAAGAATCCGTATAATCCAATAATCACATAATGCATAAGTCAAACCAATGTATGACACAAGACCAACATCAACAAGTAATAGTCAAGTCAACATATACAAGAGTTCACAACATCATAAAACAAGCAAGACCCTTGCTCAGAACCCACCATTTAGCCTACAAGTGCAATGACCAAGCAAAGCCCCATAAGCTTACTCAATCAAGAAAACCAAACAAAGGATCACACGTAATGCACAATTCATAATAACATGGCATCAATAGTAATCATCATCATATTTAACAATATAGACCAATAGCATGTTCATCAACGAAACTAACATCATAATGGATCATCAACATGTAAAGTCATCATAAGCATTGTATTTACTTTATAAGATCATTATAACATAAGAACATCCTTATAGGACTTCCCTCAAAGCCAATCAGTGCAATGCCTAGGTAGAGTCTCATACCCCCACCTAGACTAAGTCAACCTCGCAATTCGCCCTAGTTGGGGTTCACATCATTACTTTATTTTACTTTTGGGAAAACTTTCCTTAACCGACATAGACCACAAGAGCTAAGTGTGGAATCCAGTGTTGTAAAACCTTACACTGATAGAAGGCAAACTACCGGCCAAAGTTGTACCAAACATAAACATAGCCTCTATATGGATCCACTAGCTAAATCTCTATGGTGGAAACATAATTCAAGAACTAGGAGATATAAATTTAATCCTCTACATGCTTATTTGAATTGGAGCCCTCATCTCATGAGAATCCATTGAAATGTCAACACCTCTCATTATCAAGTTCACTCGGTGCTAAGCTAAGTCCCTTTTGAAATGACTTTCTTTATTAGTCATCACTTATCTTAGTTCATATGGTCTAATCCCTTGTATAGTCATTATAATTTTGTTCAATAGGTATTGCATGAATATGTCCTTTCAATACAACCCTCATATGTGAGATTAGCACATTAACATCATCATATCATAATAAAGTACATGGGTACTTCAAAACCAACCTTATATCATTTCATCTTTGAATAATCTCACAATAACATAGTCAAGACATTTCAATGCAACATCATACCAACACCTACATAGGCTATTCACAAGGCATGCTTCAATTGAAGTCCATCATAAATCATAAGCCATCATAGTTGAAGTAAAGGTTAGGATCAGAAATACTTACCAAATCTCCTTAAAAAGACATCATCATGGTCTTACCATCAACCAACCAATGACATCCAATAATAGGTGTAGTAACATCAATCAGTGATTGATACAACAGTTAGGTCAATTGCATCATCACTATCCCAAGTAATTGATACAACAGTTAGGTCAATTGCATCATCACTATCCCAATTAACATCAATTCATAACCTAGGGTTAGGGGAATTAGGGTTCATCATGAATTCATCAAGAATTAGATTCAATCCCAACAATACATTACCCTAGTCAATCCATACATGAATTATAATACATAAAAAAAGTCCAATAATCAAATCATTCTTCAATTCCCATCAATTCATTACCAAAATCCAAGATATGGGGAAATTTTGGAAGAGACCATGATCAACATGAAATTGCATCAATTAACATCAACTAATAAACAATATATACTCAATTAGTCATAGAAAATCATAATTTATCATCAATTTGAAGTTTAGAAGAAAACCCATTAGAATTGGAAAGCCCCATGGAACTGGGTAATTAGAAATCAACTTTGAAAGGACCTCTTGGGTGAAGAAATTCCAAATATGAAGAACCCATACTTAATAAAGATAAATCCGTGAAATTTAAGTGAAATTCTAGAGTAATTGACCTTCTTCTTCAAGCTTTCTTCCTTGTTCAATTGAGGAATTTGGGAGAAAGAAAGTAGAGAGAGATGATAGCTTTTCATTTTTTTGGGAATTTGGTTTGGGTGAGTGAAAATCACTTAAAATGACCCTTAGGCCATACATAATCACCCCCTAAATTACCTAAAACACTCCTCACTTAATTTGGTCTTTTTCTGAAGTCAAAATGTCAAAAATACGATTTTACCAAATCTTGGAAGTGTCTCCTCATCGCGAGGACAACACACATTTTTATTTATAAAAAAATGACTTTAGTCAGTGGGGTCTGTGTGGGCTGCGTGTCGCGCAGCAGCCCTTGGAATCTTGACCCACACAAGCTGCTTTGGCAGCTTGCCACCCATGTTGGGGTCTTCCTCAAGGACCCTTCGCGGGGTTTTTGGGAAGTCATTATCTAGTGTTTAGACCCTATATGTTAGTGAAATACAACACTATATACTACATTCTACCAAAACAGAGTATTTTAACAAGTTTTAGGCTCCATTTGACCCTCTCAAACCATCCCCAAACATAGCAACGTCAACTAGTTCAATTAAGCTAGTTTCCGGACGTCGTGGACGTTCCTTGACGTCATGGATCTAAAACTTCTAAGGATAACTATAAACATTATTTTAGGTCTTGAAACAGTGTATAAACCCTGATACACTCATGTTAGGCTCTAGATTAGGTCTCGATTTTTCGGAGTGTTACATTTACCCTTCACTATGACCCCTATATAAGTATTTTCAACCTCCAAATTAGCCTATTCACTTCATTCTTCCAAAATCACGAAACAAGACTAACTCTCCTCTCTAAAATATTTCTCTCTATATAAGAAGGAGGATGAGAAGGAGGACTCAACCTAGAGTTTCAAGTCAAGGTTTATATTCCTCCATTGAAGACTAGAACTTGGATTCAAGGTATGATAGTTTTCATCCATGCATTCTTTTTATTCATGGAGTTCCCAAATTCCTCTTCAAAGTTAGAATTCCAAATTGAGTTAGCTTTTTTGCATTTATCATGGGTTCATATGATTATCTATTTAAATTATTAAATTATGATATCTTATTAATGAATTGATGAAATACTATTTTTATGATAATTTCCTAATGAGTTAATGTATTCCCCTTTTACAGGTTATGAATCTTATGATGTGGGATTTTGAATGAAAATGTATATTTTTATCAAAGTAAGCCTGTAGTGCAAGATTTACATGAATTTATGTTGAAATCCATATCTAACCCATGTTTTCTATGTACTGATGACTGAAAATTTGTTTTGAACTTCAAGAAGTAAATTATGAACTTGTGCATTTTCTTATGAAATCTATGCAAATATTTTAAGGGCGCTTCGATAGTATAGTAACAATGATGATCATGAAGTGTTATTGAAAGGATGTTCTTATGTACACATAAGAGCAAGATGTGAAAGGTTTTCTCACATAGATAGGATCTCAGGTTGAAAGTCTTTCTCACCTAATTAAATCAAAGAGTAAGAGCTATCCTAATGAACTGTCTTGGATTTGTTATCCTAGGATGCTTTTTCATGAACAATAAGGTCAAGTAAGAAATGACTATTCTATGGAATTTATACTTAAAACTGGGAGGATATTGAGATAGAGGATATCCCAGTTGTAGAGGTTGGTTTTATAGAAACAATCTCCTTATCACTTACCTATGTTACCGTATAGGATGATTGTTTCAAGAGTCATTAGATAGTGGATCAACTTAAGATAGAAGTTCATGGCTCTACCTTAGCTAATACGACAACCTTTTTTTTAGGTGTGAGAGATACCAAAGGATCATCTGTGTTGGTTAAGTCTGATTCCCCCCATTAATAATGAACTAAGGCTACTTTTAAAAGTATTATATATGAT